TGGATACCTACCAACATAGGCACTAGTCGGCGACGCCACGAGTGCCGCGCACCGCCTGGGGGGCAAGATATACCCGCGAGGAAAGAAAAACATGCTTCGCGCAGTACCGGGTATCTCGCGACGCGCGAGCGCGCGGAGTACCCATAATCGCCCCACACATCGCCTGGGGGGCAAGATATACCCGCGAGGAAAGAAAAACATGCTTCGCGCAGTACCGGGTATCACGCGACGCGCGAGCGGAACGCGCGAGCGCGCGGAGTACCCATAATCGCCCCACACATCGCGCGCGACGAGCCAAGCCCTATTTTAAGCGCGGTGAGGAGTCCAATCGCGGGCGCGCGCCAGCAAGCGCGTCACTGTTTCATAATATCGCGCGCCGAAAAACCTAAACGCGAGCATGCGCGGGAGCCAACCGATCGCGACGAGCGGAATAGACCCAAAAAAACCAGCATCACGGAGACCACACAGGCCCGAGTCATTCAGGAAAAAATCCAAACAGGAGGTGTTCGCAAAACACCCCCTGATGGGGGGCAATTGTTGGGCATGTGACTCGGGCCTGGCCGCGTCAAGGAACGGACGCAACTGGATGGACTCCGACATAGCAGCGCGAAGACCCCGAGCGCGACACCTCATCGTAGTCAACTACGTCCTGGCGCGAAGAGTTTGTGCGCGATGTGAGTTACAGGCGCCGAGGAAGAGCGTAGCGCAGGCAAAGCCAAGAGAGGAGGGAGGCGTAGCTTTCCTCCCCAGGAAGTGGTCACATCAAGGCCAGTGGCAAATCTCTGACACGTCCTAGGTAGGGGGATGGCCTGGACAGGGTCTAAAATCCTTAGTATGTGCCAGTGGTCACATCATTGTATCCCAATTGTCACATCTTGTATCCCCACTTGGGTCAACCACTCACCCACCACAACGAAGCCTATAAATACGGCATTTACTACGGTGGGTGAGGGGATCGCATTTTTCACCATTCTCTCTCTATAACTATTACTTCTCTTTCTAAAAGTTCGGACTCCGGTCCTCGCTCAACTCTCTAATTCCTATCTCCCCGATCGAACTTGACGCTCGCGTTTCTTCTTGACCCAAACTCTCATTCGAACCTCACTCCTACACTCAGTTAGGTTCAAACAGCATCCTTAATCCTATGACCTATCTGTCCCCAAAATAGGTTGCTGCCATTAAAACGTGCGCCAAGAAGGAGTATGAATCCCCATCTTGACTTGCAATTATTACTTATCAGTAAGGAAAATCAAAATTAGGTGGGAGAATTGATAGTCTGAATTTCTAGACATTCAATTTTGAAGTCAAATAAATACTTATATAGCAATTAAACAGGCTGGAGACTGAATTACCTTACGTGGGAGCAAACCAAACCAACTACGTACTACTTTGTCACGATGATGCATAGCAAGATTCTAAAATCTTAGGTGGCCCTCCTAAACACACTATAGCTCCGATGTCCCTGTCATCCAATATACAAAGTACTCTAATCAAATTGTAATGCCAAACTAATTACATTAATTATATTTGACAATTCCAAAAACCCACCCTACTCACATTAATTCCAAACCTACCCTCAACCTCCAACATGGCCATTCATTGTGTAATTTGATCCAATATGGATATTAGGCAGGACCAAAATAGATCCATATGCATTTTTAATGGTTTTAGGTTTGGTTGGGGTTGAATTGGATCCTATTTGGGTCATTTCATTAACTACTTTCAACACGATTATACATTTTTAGTAAATGTGTTGTTACCACTTTTCTATTTTTTTCATAAGAAATAAGACAAAAAAATTGCATTTTAATTTGGTACCCGTTTGATTTTCAAACTTCCAATGTTATTGGTCCAGTTTAGACCCAACTAAAAAATTGGATATGTGTATGCCCAAATAAGTGGGTTTGGTAATAGTACCCAGATAATGGAGTCCTTTTTTCATCCCTATCTACCTCTCTAATGCTAGTAGCTTAAGGAGGGGATGTGTTAGTGTTTTCTGGCGAGGAAAATTTTGGTGTTTGAACTCAATAAATGCCCCTAATTTATTGAACAACGACAATAACACGGTTCACTCCTCTCCGAACAATATTCGAACGATTGTGTTTGATGTTTTTTATGATTTTTTGGGAACAAGCTAAGTTACGTTACTCTACTCCTAAGGAGTTTCAGTGAGAGCTCCGAAAAACTATAAGCTACAGCTATGGCTACATTGGTTAGAAAGGGTAAAGTTTGACATGTGTTGTCAAATGGTTGGTTGTGGAACGCTTTTCCCGTATTCGTTTCTCCTATTTATAGCCACCGGGTGTAACTGCATTGGTAACTGTCGTAGTAACTACTGGCTGGCATCTTGCTCCAAACCGCCTCGGGGTCCCTTGTCGCCACCTCGGTGACTAGTTGGTAACCGTCGCCTTGGGGCCCCTTGTCCTGCCTTGGTCTCGATGCCGGACTAGGTAGGTGTTGAGCCTCTTTGCCTTATCCTCTATGATGAAGTCTTGATCACATCCTTGACAACCCTGACGACTCCACGCTCCTCATCTTGCTAGCCACCTCGACGAGCCGTCTTGATAGCTAGGCCATATTACTCACCTAGACAGGATGAGAACCTGACCCCTTTACCCCCAAGTCTTCACACTTAGTCTTAGAGAGACTGTCATTGCACCAACCTGTCATCTGGTATCAAGCCAATCTTGTCGGCTTGATACTCTTGCTCCAAGCCAGCCATGTCGGCTTGGTCTCCATACTTAGCTTTTTAAATCTTATCAAGTTGGTACCTTGCACCCTGCCGGCTTGATACCCCGTTAGGGGGCCACCAAGCCCAAGACCTTGCCTTAGCCAAATTTCTCGTCTTGTTGGCTTGATACCCTGATGTCTGGCTATCAAGTTCGTCTTGTCAGCTTGATATCCAAACTTAGTTTCTGTATGACTCTCTTAGTTGGTACCTGACTTGACCCCCTGTTGTCTGGCCACCAAGTCAGTCTTGTCGTTTGATACCCCTTTGGGGTCATGGTTCCCTGTCGCCTTACTTGGATACTAAGCTTGTCTTGCCGACTTGGTACCGTGTAGGGGTCTTGGTACCGAGGCTGCCTTGCCGACCTGGTACCCCCTTAGCTCGATACTTAGCCAAATTCATGTTTTTCAAGGCTTGGCACCCTCTTGCTATGGGTGGTATGGCCCCCTGGCCATGAGATTCCATACTTAGCCAATTTTCATGTCTTTTGGTATCAAGCATGCCTTGTTGGCTTGATACCCCTTTGGATCCATACTTAGCCAAATTCATGTTTTTTCATGTCTTGGTACTAAGCCACGCCTTGCCGGCTTGATACTCTCTTGGCTCTATACTAGCCATTTTTCATGTCTTTTGGTATCAAGCCTGCCTTGTCGACTTGATAACCCTTTGGCTGAGTACTTAGCCAAATTCCAGGTCATGGTACCAAGCCCTACCTTGTCGGCTTGATACCCTGTTGGCACCATACTTAGCCAAATTCATGTCTTTTGGTATCAAGCATGCCTTGTCGGTTGGATACCCCTTTGACTTCATACTTAGCCAAATTCATGTTTTTTCATGTTTTGGTACCAAACCCTACCTTGCCGGCTTGATACTCTCTTGGATTTATACTTAGCCATTTTTCGTATATTTGGGTATCAGGCCTGCCTTGCAGCCTTGGTACCCTCTTGGCTCCATACTTAGCCAATTTTCATTTTTTTTTTTTTGTATCAATGTTTTTCCATGTCTTGGTACCAAGCCCTGCCTTGCCGGCTTGATACTTTCTTGGCTTTATACTTAACCATTTTTCGTATATTTGGGTATTAGGTCTCGTCGCCTTGGTATCCTCTTGGCTCCATAACACGACGGACAAGCAGGGGCGGAGCTACTCAGAGAGTAGGGTGGGCCCCGGCCCACCCGGGAATAGTCTCGACCCCTAGGACTGTAAGAATATTTAAATAAAATTTGGATAAGTAGTGTTTGACCTATATATTGTATCATATAACAATCATGTAGTCTACTGGTTGCTAAGCTAAACTTTTAGCCTAAAGTAAACAGGTTTAGTCCACAACAACCTCATTTTTGCTTTAACTTCTTTTGAGACTTTATTATCTTAATTCTCCCCCACAAGGTTCTGGGCCAAAGCTACAAATGAAAAATTCAACCTCTATTTAGTTCACTTGGAATTTTTAGCTCTTTATACAAACAATATGATCTATTTATTTTTTATCTATGTCGGAATGAACAGAAAATAAATGATGAGTTTCTAGTTAATGAATTAGTTATTTATATTGAAAGGAAGATAGCTAAAAATTTTAGTTCAGATGCTATTTTGAGAGATTTCAATGATCTCAAAAAATGTTGTAGACTTTAAAAATAATTATTTTATTTTTATTTATATTTATTTATTTTCGGCCCACCCTATCTCGAAATCCTGGCTCCGCTCCTGCGGACAAGTACGCAAAACACGTGCATGGTCTGCTGATTACATATCTTTCCGGCGCACAATAAACAAGCCAAGTGGTCGGCCGACGGCCGGCCGGCAACTAGAGCCAGTTTAGTATAATCTTCACAAAAAGTCAAAACCCACGTAAGAAAATGGCATTGTGCATTCTTTTATCCGTGACACCAACCAATAATTCAATTTTGTCTATTACCAATCATTATTAGATTACTTAATTAGTTTTGTTAATCTACTAGACAAAAGAATTAGTATTACCAACTACTACGTTCCAAATTTGTATATAAATACTAGTGGAATTCAGGAAGACGATCGTCACCCTCTCCTCTATGCTAGTGGCAAGGTTGATGTGGTGTGGAACATGATTTTATTTATCGTCGCGGTTAGTTAAATGGATGAAATCTTGGATGGATATACAAATATTCGGTTTATGAGGTATTAGGTGTTCTAATTCGACTTACATTGTATAGATTTTTCAATTCACATACTTTGGTGGTACTCACAAGATATTTCACCTAATAAAAAACGATTAACAAATACAACAAGCCTGCATAACAATACGGAGCAGTACTGGCTTCTAGATTAAGATGGCAAAAAGGGTATGGTTCTCCATGCATACAAACCACATACACTTCCCAATAAGATTTCTGTTCAATCGGCCCCAGACTGAAGTCTTAGAACTGCATCGAAGCTGAACTTCTCCCCTGGACTGAAAGCTTCTTCAAGATCCTCAAAGCTTTGCTCAACTCTCAGATCTTTACCCACTTTTAAACCTTCCTGCAGAACATGTCACCAGCCACAAGGTGTTTGCATTATTCGTCTGGGGCTACATTACATGCTATAGCTATTTCAGAAGCTATAGAAAGAACCTTTGAGCTTGTCCTATAAGCAAGATTCTCTTGCAGATGATATCGGGGTTTACCTTGTCAACGTACTCTGCCATGGCGGAGTTTATGACCTTCTTAATGACTTCTTTATATACTCTGGAAGCCCCAAGGATTTCGAGCAATATGTCTCTAGGAATCTGCCAACATAACAATACATGTTTACTAAGGAGGGATGGTGAACATGCTTTCTACCTCTATCGATTCATAATCATATGTATTCTCAAGCAAGACAGAGAAATTATATGGTTATTCCCAGCATCCCATAAGTCATGAAGTTAAACTCTGCTTTCACAAGGTATTGCATTGAGCGACTGACTCATGAGGTCATTCTGTCACTACTGGTGTGACTTAATGTACTGGAATTGCCGCCCCACGGAAACATTTCATCAATTAGTTTCAATCGGCAACCACACATATTCCGACACTAAAAGTGAATGCCAAAGGAGCTGAAACTTAAACTTACATTTGGTGTTTTTCCTGCAGTTCCCCAGTGATCAACGTAGTTGGCCCAGCAGCAAATGCAAGCAAGGAAATTTAAGCACTCATTAGAGGCAATGGATAAACAATAGCAAAAAAAGTAAACAGATAGCTCGAGAAAGACTGGAGGCGTGATCACTGCATTGTCCAGTAGACCCAGAGCACTGGAACTATGAATTACAAGTACAGATGTTGCCTAAAGATTATTGCTACAAGTAACTTTTGAGCCTGTTTCTGATAACTTGACCTTTCAATTTTGGTTTCAGCCCTTCTTAGGTTCTCATTCAACGAAGACCAAAGCGTAAAAAATGTTACCTCCTTTCACTCTACGAAAGCCTGGAATCGGCTGTGCAGCTTCCACCATTCTGTCGAAAACAACATCGAAAATGGCTCTCGTTTTGGTGCCAGAAACCTCTACATTTACCTATCCATGAAAGTTGGAAACCAAACATCAATAAGAAGACTCCAACTTTCTGTAACATACTAACATCCACAACATCTAAAACACTATAATAGTTTTGGTCATTGTCTTCACCTTCATCACAGTCGAATCGTCGGTACTTGTAGTAATGACCCGGAAATCCCCAATTCGAGATGATGATACCCCAACATCTTCTGAAACCAAGAGAAATAAATGTTTCAGAAACATAACCATGTAATCTTGAAAAGGGTTAATAGCAAAATAGCAAGTGAAGGGCAAGGAAGAAAAATGAACTTCACCTGATACCAAAGCATGAACAGGTTGAGAGCTCCTACATGTTCTTCTCCTAGAAAGAAAGTTGCGGAATTTCTCAAAAAGCAGACCAAGATAAGTAGTAGTAGTACTAGTAGTAAGTTAAAACTGAAAATCAAAGAACCCAGCTAGAATTGTGCTGCTAACCTTCCTATGCATCCAGTAGCGCTATTGCATCCCACTCCATGGTAAAAAGATGGTGTCTTGAAGGATAAATTCCGAACGGCAGCTTCTGGTACTGCTGTTCTTCGATTTAAACCCTAAACCACAATAGAGAGAGGAAGAATTACCAAAACTTTGTTCGCTCCATTTTTTAGAGCTAAAATATTAGAGAGAGAGCGTTGATACCTTATGGATGAAGACGAAGAAGGAAGCTTCAGGGGCTACTACTACTTCCATCATCTTTTGCTTTGGCTCAATCTTCTGTCTCTGCTATTGCTGAAAATGGGTATGGTGCTCCAAAGCTGCTACCTTGAACCAAATGGCGGTACGCCGTCGTATTTGCAGTTCTAAGGAAGGACAAAACACGAAAAAACGTAGGAACACGGCGGCGTTTTGCTCTGGCTGTGGCCTTCTCTTTGGATGATGAAATCTCGTTCTTGTTACATTTCCTCAATTCGGAAAACCCAATCTCTCAGACCGAGGCGGGGACTAAAGAAGAAAAATGGCGGCCAAGTTCGTTTCCTCTGCCTCGCAGCTTCAACAATTTCCCACTGTAAGTTAGTCTGGTACACTGAACAACTAAACAAGGAGCAAACTTTAGTACGTTGTGGAGAAGATATTAGACTGAAGTAGTATGTTTTCTTTCATGGGCAGCTGGTTTCTGCTTCCGAATGCAAAAACCTCGCCCGCCATTACCACAGTAGCACCAAAAGCTTTAGTCTTTATACCACACAACACCAACAATTCAGCAACAGGTAGTAACTAACCAACTAAGCTTGCCCTTTACTCGTTTTTTAGGTTACATTGAGCAATACCCTTTACTGGAAAGAAGTGATTGAATTTCAGGCAGCTGTTTTTTTCAAAAGGGAGATTGATTGGAAATGCAGTCGGGCCTATTTCAGCTACGGACTCAGGTGGGCACTTCTCAGCTTCAAGTTATTTGCAACGCCTTTTGGTTTATCCTTTGACTTCCTCCATGTTGAATTTTCTGTTGTGTAATTGCCTGGTAGTTGAATTGGCCAAGTTTGCTGTGATTTAGGAGTGGAAACATCGATTACTGAGCCAAAGGACAATGCCATAACCGTAAGAGATGCTAAGATTGTTGTAGAGTCGAGGGACGAAACCAGCATTAAGGTTTGCTCCTACTCAACTTGCAGCTTTCTTCTTTCTATGTATGCATGGTTAAAAAGCAGGCCTTCTGAGATTATGATTCTGGTTTCTTTCGCTATCCATTTTTGTTTTATGGGAGTTTCCATGTTGAATGATTCATATTATATGATCATTTATGTTCGAAGGTTAGAGTGGATTTGGGGGGAGATGAAACAGAAAAGGTTTTCGGAAAGGTATTGAGAAATCTGGCTCTCACTTCACCACCAATCCCCGGATTTCGGAAACAAAAGGGAGGTCAGACCACACAGTTCCCTCAATTTTCTTATGTAATTGGTTATCTCCATATTGTGATTTCACTCATTTCCTTTTATCTACTGACAAAATCGCATGAAGTCGTCGTGAAAAAGAGCGTCAGTTTTGTCCATGGTTGCGATGAGTATGGTGATCAGCCTGTCAAGGAATTCAGAGACTCAATACCTAAAACTTATGCTAACTCTTCAATTCTTACGAGAGAATTACCTAGCTCACCAAATTTCTTAACTAGCTAGCAAACATCCAACTAACCAGGCCATTTGAACAGTATATAGTATAGTCTGCGAATTTCAGACTCGCTACTTCTATTGAATGCTAGGACTATATATGTTGTTTCCATATGATTTATTTTATATAAGCTGCTTCCTTGTGCTTTCTATGCTACAACAATCCCTTGAGCCGCCAAAACCTTAACGTACTACCAATCCTGTTTTGCATGGTTGCTGGACTGAAACCAGGGAAGACAACCCAGGTGAGTGTGATGTCATAATTCGATGCTCAATTTTATTAGCAGAGTTCCAGTAGGAGAACAGGACAGTTATTCTATCTGTTGATTCTAAAGGGTTACTGATATTGTATACTGGCCTCAGGTGCCAAGGGACTTCCTGATCCAGGTCCTGGGGGAAGACCGAGTTACGAACTTCGTGATTCAAGAAATAGTTAGCGCAACACTGGCAGATTATGCAGATAAGGCAAGTAGTGTTGTGGTTTAGAAGTAAATGTGGATGGATCATTAAACTCCTTTGCACGGGACTGGTATGGATTGTCCTGAATTTAATATTTGCTATTGGGGAAGCAGGAAAATGTGAAAGTGAAGGAGAACAAAGTGACCACAATCCAGAAGGCAGATGAACTGATGAAGCTGTTTAAACCAGGAAAAGAGTTCGGGTTTAACGCCATTCTGGAGCTTGAGCAAGGTGATGCAGTGGAAATTGAAACTGAACAAGGTGATGCAATGGAAGCTGAAACTGTAACTAACGAAAGCTAGAAACAAAGCTCCTCTCTTTTTCTTTGTATGAATGACATTATTTAGTTTATATATTGACTCTAGTCATAGTTCCATATATACCCACGTTCATCCATACATTTGGCAACGATGATGCAGTTATGCAATTTGGTATAATTCACTATGTACAAACAAAATGCAAAGAGAAGAAGAATTACAACAAGAAAAAGAACAAGAGCTGATCAAAAGAAATGAAAAGAGCCTATCTGTTCTCTCCTCCAAACAAAATTCAATCGAACTTTGAATGTGCCAAAAAAGCTGGCTGGACAAATATCATTACAGAGTAGAACAAAAAGTAAAAAGGAGCAGACTATACTGCAGACAGAGTCATGAACTTCGGCCACTGTCGTCGATCATCATCCCTTTCAGGCTCTTCGCCAGCCATATCGCAGTCTCCCTTGGTGAGACCTTATCTTTTCCAAATGGCCTGAGAACGATTGCCAGCTCCTCCAGCCTATCCTGCTGTAGTAAGTCAGCAGACAATTCCAAAAGCCCTTCAAGTGCATCAGCTCGCTGCCTAAATGACTTCACGTCCAGAATTTCCTTGGGTGCAGTAGTAGGTGACGCCACTTCTTCTTTGACAGGGGAGGTGGGTTTTGCCGGTTCAGAAGTATCATGATTCACTACTGAGGCTGCAGCTTTCATATCCATTTCCTTGAAACTGGAATCATCAGTAGACAGGCTAGATTTCAAGCTTAAGGCTTCTGAGCCTCCTGCTGATTTAAGTGTCACTGGAGCCCCCACATTTCGCATGTCCAGCTCGTCTCTCACAACATTTAAGAGCTTCCCAACGTCCATATTTTGAACTCCCATCTCAACAGTTTCCATGACTGGCTGCTCATTCCCAACACGGAAACTGCTGTGACGTATGACATGTATGACATCATCAAAAGGAGGACAGCCAGCAGCAGCAGCAGAACCCCTTTCCACTGGTGGATTTTGCAAAATCGTTGTTCCTTTTTCTGATTGCAAATAGTTTTGAGCGGCTGAAATTGGTGAGAGAGTCGACGTAGTAGCCTCTGAAACTGATAGAAGTTCTGTCACAGTAAACTTGTCATCACCTCTACATGGAGAATTAACATTTGATCCAAGTGACATATCAGGTCTACTGCTACTGGGCTGACTTTCAGGGATATCATCCTTATGAATTGTTATCCCTTCAGTAACTGGAATCGATAAATGAAGCGCTGCACTTGATGCCATGTTACCAGAACCATTGAAAGAATTTGCATTGGCATCCTGAACACTGTTAGGTTCAACCGAGCAAATCAAGGGTCCAGGATATTCTCCATGATCTCCATTTGATAAATTATCAGAAGCATCAGAGTGGAAAGAGGATGAAGATGAGACTCTCAATGCTGGAGTATCTGAAGTTCCAGGCCTTCTTTCTATCTCATGATTTGGAGGTGTCTGCATGTCATCAAATGAAGTTGTTGCATCATCATAAAGTTCAGATGCTTCAGCTGAAACCACAGATGAGACAGAATTACTGCCATCTGTTTGAGTCACTTTCGAAACCCCAACTGTAGCTTTCTGAAATGTCTCTTGCTTGATCTCCTTAGTAGAATGCATGAACTGCTCATCGGGAACTTCACGAGAAGTAAGTTCGGGGGACTTAGTCATGGCAGCAGTCTCAGTTAGGGCGTCATTTCCAACTTGTCTTGTCCGTACAGGGAATGAACACCGCCGAACAATGTTGGAAGGCGGGGTTCTCTGCCTAGATTTAGCAGCAAGTCCATCATCAGAAAGCTTTATGGGGACAGATGGCGGAATGCCATCGTATCTGGGTTTAGTCTTCGGCGATGTGTCCATTATTGGTAACTGCAAAGGAGGTGATTGAACATATGAGCAGTTTAAAGAAATGAGAATACCAATTACCATTCAAAGCGACTGGAAAATATTATTCTACCTGGTGTTTAGAAGGGGTTGATGCTGGAATCCGCTTAATAGAATCGAATGTCAACTTTGCCTGAGCAACAGGTGATGCATCAACTACGTTAGGCTTAAAACTCGGAGCAACAGCATAGGGTCGAGGAATTTTCGACACTGATTCTGCATTATTCCTTGGTGTTGTCATTATGCCTGTAGCTTTCGCACGAGCCCCTCTAAGTGGAGACCCATTTTCTCTAGCCTTGCCTTCTTTCAGTGCCATCATAATACTTTTAATAGTCTTAGGCTGCTGCTTGGACTCAACATTGGGTCCATCCTCATAATGGTTGACCTTCATTACTTTCCGTTCATTGACTTTGTCAGTATGAACTGTATGGTTGCTATCTCCTTCACTTGGCGTGGTTTGTTCAGTGTCATTATCATCATCAATAGATGCCAGATCTGTGTCAGTACCTTTATTCTCTCCCGTAGTTGAGATGTTTCTCTCGCTTGAGAGGTAACTATCTCTATCACTACTAGAGCTGTTGCTGTTCTGGCTGTCAGCCATGCTTCTCCTTGAACCACGACCAGCTGAAGGAGGCTTCTCGAGAGAGCAAGTTGGAGGACTCAAAGATGACCGGTACTGCTCCACATAAGGCTGCAAGTATGGATGCTTTAGGACCTCAGATGCCTGAAAGGAAGAGGTATTCGGATTGTTAAGTTGCCAATCGGATATAAAACTTACAGAGCAGAAATTTTTTGAGAGGTATGCTTACAGTAGGGCGGTGCTCAGGATTTTTCCTCAGCATGCATCTAATAAGTGATTTCCTGTGAATAATGGATCCACATTAAGTCCCAAACAATCAGTAGAGAGTAAAGTGCTGATTGTAACCAATTTTCTAGAGATCACTGGCCTATACAGTCAATAAAAATGAGACAAAGATAGTACTTGTGAGTTCTGTAATTGATTCTTAAAAAAAAAAAGAGTTCTGTAATTGATCCCATCGGTTTTTTTTTTCTTTTGCGCTTCTTATGGGAAATTCAGGAAAAGAATCATGCATAAAACATAAAGACTTGCTGGAGGGAAATGTAAATATTAAACCTATATGAGAACATACAAGGATGGAGAATAGCAAGGCGGCAAAGGACCAATTGAAGAACGATTGATCTTGCTTATCAACCCTGCCATATCCTGCAATAGAACAGTTACAGCAGGAAATTAAGTGTATGGAAATCAATGGAGCAGAAAATGCTTCTAAGTTCTACCGAATTGCATGCAATATTTTAATGTGATGGTCATCATATCAAGAGGAACTTCCAGGTTAAAGAAAATCTTACAAAAGCTTTGAAAGCAGGGCGATGAGCAGCCATCTCATATACACAGCATCCTGGTCATTAACAAACCCATATTAACCAAGAGGTAATATAAGACAAACGTGGAAAAAATTGAAGACCTTGAACACAGCATACCTAAAGACCAAATATCTGATTTGAAGCCATATGGAATATCTGCAAGTAGCTCTGGACACATGTAATTGGGAGTTCCAACCACCTGAATAAAAACGCAAATATTACTGGCGAAATACAGAACAGTCAGATTCTCTTTTGCCGTATGACACAACTACACAAGAAAATCGAGGGGGAAATGCATTCATCAAAGTATAAGAACCGATCAAGTTCAAGCACAAGGTTGCCTTCCAAAGGCCTGATATATTCCAGTCAAATGGCTTGACATTGTTCTTGAGCAACAAATGAAATACTCAATGGAGAAACACCATGAGCTCTTCACTCCATTGTGACATTGTGTAACAACATTCTCAAAAAGTAATAGGGAATAGAAAAGAATGGTGGAAGCTTAAACATACCGATGAAGCCAAGTCATCTTGCTTCAAAGTTTTAGCAAGTCCAAAATCCCCTGAATTGGAACAAAACAAGATCAGCAAAACTAAAATGACCATAAGAACAATGCACCCAAGACACACTCAAACATTAATAAAAACAGACTTACCGAGGCGAACATCCTGATCTTTAGTCAGAAAGATATTTGAGCACTGCAAAAAGAAGGCTTTTATCACTAAGGTCACCATCTTTAAGCTTCATTCAGAACATCCAAATCATAATTCAAAACTCTAGTTCACATACTTTCAAGTCGCGGTGGAGGACATATTTAGAATGAAGATAATCAACAGCCAAGAGCAGTTGCGTGAACCACTTGCAAAGTTTCTGCAACCAACAATGGCCATCAGTTCTACTCCAATGACTAGCCTAAATGCAATGACAACCACAAACAGGAAACCAAAAAAAAATTACCTCCTCAGGAAAATAAACACCGTTGTTCTTCTTCATCAATTCAGCCCTATTCCGAAACAACCGATTCAATACATTAGCAAATAAGTTCGTGGAGCAAGTTACACGAATCCGAATTACTCGATCCAAACACTTACATGTCTCCACCTTCACAGTATCCAGTGACAATACATACATAGCAACCCTACATTTACCAAAATGGCAACATTTCCATTCAGTTGTCAGTGATGCCAAACAGAAGAAAACCCAATCCAATTGGCCAATGATACCAACCTTCTCAACCCAGGCTTCCTTGAACTCCACAATGTAAGGGTGCTGAATTCGTGCAATGAGTGCCATCTGCATTAAAGAAAATTTCAGGCAATCTCACAAGATTTAGCAAAAGCAGCAGCTTAGTCAACTAAAGAACGGCATTAACTGACAGAGCAGAAAGGAGAAACATACTTCCTGGTGAGCAGATCTCCGGCACCGCTCCGTCTGGCGAGCAAGCCGGATCTTCTTCAACACATACCTGCAAATCAAGGCTCCGAAATCAAATTAACAATGCAAATCTCCCGAACGAACCAGAGGGAGAGACAGAGAGAGGATTATGCATACTTCTTCTTCTCGGCTTTATGATTGACTAGAATGGCAGCGCCAAAGGCGCCACGCCCGATCTGCTCCATGATCTCATACTGATCCATCTTAGACTCCATCTCTCTCACTTTCCCCTACCAAAGGAACTCCGCAGAAGAAGCGGAAGATCAATCTGAAGACTCTGTTACATCACTGTAGCGCCTTTTAGCAAGCAAACAATCAAATCGAGAAAAGCCCCGGAATCTCCCAATGACGAGAAGCGGCTCTTCCTCACCGCCCGCCAACAATGTCGGGGAAAAGCAAACAAACTAAAAGCAGAGCTCCCCCCAAGTCCGCCGGCGCCGGCGCTTGCCGCTCTCTCTCTCTCTCTCTCTCTCTCTCTCTCTCTCTGGGCTTCGACACCAATTGGGAATTTGGTAACAATGATTGGTTTGTTGTCCGGTGGATGAAAACGAAAGGTGGGGAAGTTGGGGAAGTTTGGTTGACAAGGAAAGTTCTCTTCTTTCTCCTTTTTTTAGCTCTTTCTTGTTCGTGGGTTGGAGATCGGGTGAGCTAACCAGGGCAGATGGTTAAAGGGGAAGGGAAACAAGAACGATGGGTAATGAATGATAGGATTGATGAAAATGAATTCCAGCAGAGATGGTGTCAGTGACAGGGAATGAGGTGAGAGAGTTTTTTTAGGTGCGGGGGAGTGGAGTAAGAACTACGAAGATCAAAATGGAAGAGAGCCAAAAGGGGAGTGCCGCAAAGCAAATTGGGTTTTCGGTTGTTTCTACGACTGCTACGCAGTATGCACCGCCGACACACAGCCCGCCCGGCTGCAGTGGCGGGTGGGGTTCGTACAGCTGCAAGTAGGAATGGCCATGGGTACGTTCGGGTCGGGTATCTCAATACCCATACCCATCCCGTGGCAGGTCGGATAATTTATCATGAGGCGCGAATCAAGGCAGGTCGACCCAATGAATATGTGATTTATGTGAAAACATTTAAAAATATTCATTATTTTCATTAAAAGACTGAGAAATAAACCATAATATGATATATTGTAGTTAAAGTAATGGAGAAATTGACGTTTTCACTTATACAACTTTATTATAGCTAAACAATGAGGTAATATGAGGAAAATTCGAAGTAATTTTACTAAGATTACATGTAATTTAGGCAAGAACGGGTCGGGAATGGGGCGGGTCAAGGCAGGTCGGGTCGACAAGAGGTACTCATGCCCGCCCCGCCCCGCCTACGGAGCGGGTCGAACCCGCCTCAAAACAGGTCGGGTAAAACGGGTCAGGTCGAAATTGTCATCCCTAGCTGCAAGCCTGCAACCCCAGTTGTTGGTAGAAGGTTATGGTGGATCTTATACATGCTCATGTATGGGAGACGCCCCCTCAAACGAAAGCCGACTCATGACTTGTAGTTTGCACAGGCTCGTCGTGCTTGAAAGACAACGGTTAATATTGGGGGGTCGCGAGGACTTGAACACGTGACCTCAATGACAAACCAGCTCTGATACCATGTCATGAACCAGTTGCTCCCAATAACTCTAGTTGTTAGGAGATGGTCATGTTGGATCTTATACATGCCCATGTATGGTACTTAACCACTTCCTTACAGTGGAATGTCGGCCGGTTGAATCTGGTATGATCCGAATGATCGATTTCCGGCCTCTAAACTAAATGATGTGGTTTTAGTGAACTTAATTAATAAAAATGAATTTATTAATTTATTTCATGAATTTGAAAGTTAAATATTTATTTGTTGAATTCAAATATAATTGTTTGGATGTTAGCATTAAATATGAGAATTTTTACTTTGTTTAGAATTTTGTTTTTTTATTTGAAGATAAATGTGGATTATATGTGTTTAAGTTCATTTAATGAAAATACTTTGCATAACTCGAGTTATCGGGATCGAAGTAATTTGTTCACTAAAATTATAATATCTTTTAAATTTTTACATATATTATTATCGACACGAACCAACGTGAATCGATTCTACCTTGGTCGAACCATATCACTTCTTAAACCGATTTGATAACATTGATGCAAGCCGGCAACAGCCAGCCACGCTTCACTTGCTTTACAAGTTGGAGATAACAAAGGACAATATATATTATTTTATTTCCCTCGTGCTTCCTCTTTTGATTGTTGTGCTTCGCTCCTAATCCTTCTCCTGAAATGTATGAGATCGATCATTGTGGGATTTGATTATTTAATTCATTGATGATTACTACTTGATGTGAGATGGTGTTTTTGGCGATGATTGTGGGTGATAGTTACTAGACTCATAATTAATTTGGAAAATATACATTAACCCTTTCCCGCCTACATCATTATTATTTGCTTGATCCACCTAATTAAACGTAAAATAGAAAGGATTGGATTGTGTTGTGGACTAACGATGTCTTGATCTTTCCCTAAATAAAAAGCCGTATGTGGTAATCTAAAATGATGGGAGTTGGTTGGCTCTCTTATGTGCTATCAACTCAGGCTTTTAATTTGGCGATTTCTCTTCTTTGATTAGTACAAATGTCGTTCATTCTCCATAATTGCAATTGATAGGGATGGGGCCTTTGCTTATGTAGTTGTTTGTTGGGGAGAGACTAGGGTGGTGAGATGGGTTATTGGGTTTTCTCCCAATGTGTATGTGAGAACCACAAATCTAGGCGTGCGATTTAGGGATACATAATATGACATATATATAAACCGACTATTTTCTGTTAACTACCCGAATAATTAACCTAACCGAATAAACCCTCATAATTCCCACCCTGACACAATATCCGAATAATACGCAAATAACAAATAGACCCCAATAATTATGTTTCTCACAATCCATCCCCCTTGAAACCCACCTTGCCCTCAAGGTGGGCCATCTTTCTTGTCGTCCTCCTTCATTTCCCCTCCTTCCGCTCCGAGCTCCATTTCCTCGCCTTCATCTTCCCAATTCCCGACCAGCAGCATTAAGTGCCCCTTGGCGCACTGATGTCCCACGGTATACCTCTCATCACAGTTGAAACAACGCCCATCCCTGCGCTTCTGATCCATCTCCGCCTGAGTCAGTCTCACGAACCGCGGCGGCGCCCTAACCGGGAATCGGGTACCGACTGCAGCCCCTGCGGCGGGTGGGCTCGACGTCGCAGCCGACGGTGTCACCATCCCAGCACCTGCGCCGCTATTTGCTCCACCACTGGCCTTCTGCATCCTGCCCACGGATGATCTCCAACTGGCTAGCTCCTCCTCCTTCCGACCTCAAGTCTAAAAGCCACACGAAGAGAGTCAGGTTCAAAAACCTTGACTGCGGTGGCCAGCTCTGGTCGCAGCCCGGCCATGCACAGCCCCACCAGTGTCTCCTCAGTCATCTCCTTGCATTGATTCCCCAGTTTCAAGAACTCGGCCCTGTCCTCTGTCACGGACCCTGTCTGCTTCAGCTTGGCCAACTGCTCCGGTGGCCATCCCTCTGCTCTGCCGAACTGGTACCGGAGCTCCTCCTGAAACCGAGCCCAGGAGATGCCCGCGCCTGCTGCCGCATATGCTCGCTCAGTCCATTCCCACCACTGGAGGGCATCCCCTTCCAAATAGAAGGACGCCAGATGCGCCTTCCTTTCTGCCCTGACCGGGTGGTTCATAAACCACCGCTCCGCCGCATACAGCCACAAGCCAACATCACCCGTACCATCAAATTTCGGAAATTCAATAACCGGAGGTTTAGCTCTGAACACCAGCTCATCATCATAGTCATACAGTGGGTTGCTGTATCCATACCTGTCGCCATCTGAAGGTTGCATCGGGCGACCCGGCCCATAGTGCCGGTACTCGGAGTCCGATTTAGGGATTTAGGCGTGCGATTTAGGGACTGAACGAATTAGGGATTGAGAATTTAGGTGAGAAAGAATTGGGAATTGGATGAGAGAGAAGGCAGAGTCGGGTTCCCGGGATGGGAAGCCGCCGACGGTGAGGAGAGGGGAGAGGGTTCGGCCAAGGTGAGAGGAGAGAGAGAGAGAGAGAGTTTGGGAACAATTCTGTATTATTGTTTGCCCTTGACCTAACATAACATGACATATATATAAACCGACTATTTTCTGTTTACTACCCGAATAATTAACCTAACCGAATAAACCTTCATAATTCTCACCCTAACACAATATCCGAATAATACGCAAATAACAAATAGACCCCAATAATTATGTTTCTCACAGTGTATAATCACTCTTGAGACGAGTAAGGCACTTACTAAATGAAAATGGAAAAATTTACGATCACTTATGTGGAGTTATGGGGCGCACTTGAGAGAATTTACATGGTGTGAGATGTTGGATAGAAAAGAAAATCGAGTTTCAGGCTCCAGCTCGACTCGACTACAGTCTACAGCTACTTACATGCTCTCATTAGATAGTTCGATCGGTCACCAACATGCTAATCTAGTGTTAGCCTTTTGAGATTTTCGGAGCAAGGATTGAGAAGTGTGCATCAGACAAAATTATAGAGATGCTCATTGTTAGCCAATTGTCTAGTACAGAGGGGACACCCCGCTAATATATATTATCGATCCTGACAATGTCATTGGCTTTTGTATGATTCGGTTGACGGCTTTGTTGTCGATTCGATTTCGTAATAATAAGATAGTAATGATTGCACCCTTTTTCATTATAATAATAAAAATCTCAAAATCGTTACGCATGATGACTCAATTCTCTAAGCACTTCTGTGTATGCTATCTTAGTTAAACAAATCTAAATTTTCTTTATCATTCAATTATCAGGAAAGTGGTTTCTCCCCATATCGGACCGAATATATTGTCTCCAAGACCCCTAGCCCAAAGATTGAAATTGAGTTCTAGTTCCATTTTCATCATTTTATTCATAAACCAGCATCAGTGACTACTAAGCACCACCAACAATTTACGAAACAAACTTGAGTTTGCGACAGTTAATCTTTAATTTCGAGCCACTCTTTCTTCAGTTTCGAAATATCCTTAAGACGTAAGCAACATTGTTTGAGTGATTCTAATATTGTAGCCATTTTGTTCCTGCATCAAATGAAATATTTCTTAGTAACTTTTGCACTCTATTTTCAGGGGGTTTTTTTTTTGACAATTTTCAGTTGCTAACGGTTGCAAATATGTTGTCTAGCAAAAAGTAAACTATCATTAATTTGCTGGAATATAAAAGAGATGTGCCTCCTCCTCCCCAAACTATCATTGAATAGTGGATCATTTTTAATTGGGGAGATTCTGAATTCCAGAAGTACCTATTAATTACTATATATTGTTTCTATTTAATTAGGTAAAACCTTAACTAATTGATATGTGTGATATCTGCCTTATTTAACTTATAATAAATAAATAATTGGTTGGCATGGGTTGGATGGGAAGATGACATAGGGCCAATTGTAACAAGAAAAAGATCCTGAGCCTGATCCTTCTGACCTTCTACCATTAGATAAAGTGCATGCTTTTTTGGGTTAATTTGGTAATGGAATTGGGAATAAATTGCAAATGCGGGCTTGATTAGTGATAACTATAATTACTATATACATTTCATACTCTCATTTAAGGTAGAATTTCTCTCCTACCCCATGTAAAAAAAAACGATAAATTTTTTTAATACTTCTTATATTAATTTAAGACTTCAAATGACTCAACCAACAAATCTGATTTACCTAGACTATACTTAAAGCACGAATTCAGAATGCAAACAAAATTCAGTCAAGAAAATAATCCGGTCATTCATGATCAATACGATAGAATCTAAGGGGTCGTTTGGAAAATATGAGTTTCAATCTATAGATTGTCAACAATCTAAAGATTCAAACTCTTCGGATTATTGAAAATAGATTTTAAAATATTTATTGTTTGGTAACTATGATTGTTAACATTCAAAATAAAATAAAATTTACAATTTTATATTAAATAAAATGTTTATCTTCAATAATAAATTAGATTGGTTATAGAAATATTAAAAACTTTGTTAATGAATATATTTAATGTGATAAATAAATAAAATGAAGAGAAAAGGTAGGAGAAAAAAATCTCACGAATCAAAATATAGAATCTCTCTGATTATGAGAGATTTGATATCCATAGATTTTAGAGATTTGAAATTTCCGAAGCTAAAATCCACATTACAAAAAGCAAAAAAAAAAACATGACTTTCTACAAAATCTACGGATTCTACAAATCCATGCTCTGAATCCTGTTCTCCAAACGACCCCTAAACCCCCGAGACATAAACTATCTTCCATTTCCATACCTAACTAATTGAGAAGAACCTGGGGCAAAAGTTCTTTGATGAAGCATTACTCAAGAGTCAAAGATGTTGTTGGACGGAGCTATATATGTTATGGTCAGGAGGACGAATCATAATAACATTCCCTAAGTTAATACATTTGTAAAATCTATAACGAATTTGAAGAAAAAAAAAGAGCAGTTTGTAAGACATTGTTCGACTGACAGACGAACCATTTAGCTTGTTGTTTCTTCATCTAAGGGCCCATTTAGTATTGTTGCTTGTTTTTGTTTCCTGTTGTGTTTTAAAAAATTTGGAAAACCAAGAAAAAAAACGTGTTTAGTTGGGTTTTTATTTTTTGTTGTGAATCAGAGTTGCACAACAAGACCCAAATATGAGAAACAAAAATTTATAGCTTTGGATCTGATTCTTAAACATGTTGCACACGGGATTCCTACTAGTTAGGCGCTTGATTTCATTAAAACATACCAGTTTTCGAATCCCCATAGAAGCAAAAAAATTTCTTTTTTTTTTAACACAGCCCCCCAAACCCTACTTCGACAGCCACCCCAACCCCGGCCTGTGCTTAGTGGGATTTCCCTACTTCTGTACTTCCCCAATCCCCTGAATATAATAGCGCTTTCAGTACGTTCAAAAAAAGCCAACTTATTATCATACGATCTTAATACCCAATGATTGAGTCCGCGACATGACCAGATGGCCATATAAAGTTGCAAATGGTAATCCTACGAAAGAAATGAAAGAAGCCAAACCAGAAGAAGAAGAAGATCCAAACCAACCAGTAAACGACTATACTATACATAAGAAAGAAGAAGGCCTAGGTGTCCAAACGAATTATTAAATTATTATTATATCTCGTCACTGTATCAGAAGAACTCTCTGTCTCCATCCCTTGTCTATCTCTCTCTAAACTTTGCCATGTGCGCCTCACGCTCCATGCTCCCTTCCCTTCGTCTTCTTCCCCATTATTGCGTACAGTAACATGCAGCTCAAGCCAGCCAGCCAGGCCATCAGTTTCAGCAGCGACGACCGCATATTCGATTCCGTCGACGGAAAAGGATCAACTGGATCAGTGTTAGCCTGTTAGGCGAACCGTGATCAAACCTGGGCCCGTAACTAGTTTAACCTAATCGCTTTAATGAAGATAGGCCTTTTTAGTTTAATAACGCCCAAGCCCAATCCATCCGGCCCAATTTCTAGGGCCCAACTGTTGTAGCTGCTTCCTTCCTTCCTTCCTTCCTTCCTTCCTTGCTGTTTGGCGTCATGACTCATAAGTGACGTGTGTCCTGAGCTGGCTGCCTGGCTCCATGTTTCGAAAACTTTTAAGAAAGTCTTTGCTTTGGGCATGCGACGTCATACGATACGTTGCGCCAGCGTCTGCACAATCCAGAAAATAGTCAAAGGAATTAAATTTAAAATAGTCAAAATAATGTTTTTCGATGAATAATATCTGTTTTTTTTTTGGTGAATAACAACTTGGATCACTGAACGTCCAAACTTTTAACATATTGGTCATACAATTTAATAGCTACTGAGTATCGTAATTATTAATTACTTCATATGTATACTAGTGAAAGTAGTGAGATTATGCCCTCAAGAGTGCAGCTATAATTATTCTTCACCATTTGTGATTTGCTGACAAAATTACCATAATGTAACCCGAAACGCGAGAAATGAACGCATATTCAAATTAGGAAAAATTGGATTTTTAAGCTAAAACTCTGTTCAACTCACTAACCACAACATAGTCCAGTATTGTTGGGTTTTCAAAATTCAATTACTTTGATGACTAATTTGATAGCATCTCAAAATTCCAATAACCAATGAGTAAATTAACACTGTTAGCGTTTGTCAACGGAAAAACAACCCAGCGGCCAGCAGCCGGCAGCAACTAACGCCAGCTGCTTCATTCTTCCAGAAAGCTATAAATAAGCTTGTAGCACGGGACCCAGAAAATTTATCCGAAACCCAAACAACCAACCCAACCCAACTAGATTCATCAACGAATTTCTCCCTTTTCTTCTTCGTTTCCTTTCCTGGATTCCTTTGTTTCTCTTGCGCCTTCTTCCCCAAGCTAACTCCCTCTACTTCTTAAACCCCTCAAAAAATCTTTGTTCATCGTCATTTCACATTCCCCATCGTCCACCGGGAAATCATGGAAGAGCAGAAGGGATCGTCACCGTCGTCGGGGACGGGACGCCGGCTGGTGGTCGTCGGAGGCGGCGTTGCCGGTTCAATGCTCGCCAAATCTGCCCAATTCACCGCCGACGTCACCCTCATTGACCCGTACGCTCTTTCCCCCTTCCCTAATTGTGGTTTTATAGTGATTGAATTTCTGTGGGCTTATGATTCCTTTAGCTGTTAATTTGGGAATGGAGTGTTTGAAGATGGGGAAGTGCTTTGGTTGCTCTGTTCTTTCTTTCAATTGCTTTGCAATTCGCGTTCTGAAAACTGAGAACTTTCAATTCGAAGCATCTCCAGGCATCTGCATGTTTGGCGATGGTGATTTTTGGGGAACTTTGAACTTAATGTCTCCTTTTATTTGGAAAAATTCCATCAGAATTCAGCAACTTCTTAGAACCCTAGCTTGCCAGAGGAATTTGTAGGAGGAAAGCGATAGCTTTTCTACTCGTTCCCAACAATTTTGTGCAATGCTGTTAGCCTTATGGTAGTGATCACATTAAACTGAATTGGTGATTTTAAACAGGAAGGACTATTTTGAGATCACATGGGCAAACTTGAGGAGCATGGTCGAGCCTTCGTTTGCAGAGAGAGCAGTGATCAAGCACCGAGATTACTTCACGAATGGGCGCGTCATAACGTCCAATGCTGTCAATATCACTGAGAAAGAAGTCATAACCGAGGAGGGCGAAGCAGTTGGATATGACTATCTTGTTATTGCAACTGGCCACAAGGATCCTGTTCCTAAGACTAGGAAGGAAAGACTTGCTCAATACCATTCAGGTAAAACACAATGAAATGGAAATTCAAGCTCTTCGCTTTATCCCTTGCATTACTTTTAATTCATGTCAGGGATAGTCATAGAACAGAAGTGAAGGCTGGATTGCATTTCTACTTGATGCCTAGCTAGCCATGAAGCTTAAGTTAAGATGTGTTTTGCTCCTATGTGTCGGTTTAGCTTATCCGTTTTTGCTGGTACTTTGTATGTGCAGAAAGTGAGAAGATCAAGTCTGCTAGGTCCATTTTGATAGTCGGAGGGGGTCCTACCGGTGTTGAACTTGCTGGAGAAATCGCTGTTGATTACCCCGAGAAGCAGGTTACACTTGTTCATAATGGTTCAAGGCTGCTGGAGTTTATTGGGCCAAAGGCCGGAGCTAAGGCGTTGAAATGGCTGAAATCAAGGAAGGTTGAAGTGAAGCTGGAGCAGCGAGTCGATCTGGACAATATTGTCTCAGATGACGCTGGCAGCAAAACATATCATACCTCATCCGGTGAAACTATCCAAGCAGATTGCCATTTCTTGTGCACCGGGAAACCACTGGCCTCGTCGTGGCTTAAGGATACCATGTTGAAGAGTCACTTGGATGGTAAGGGGAGGCTGATGGTTGATGAGCATTTGAAAGTCAAGGGCACAAACAATGTGTTTGCTATCGGAGATATCACCGACATCCCTGTAAGTTGAATCCCCCCCTGCCCTTAGTAAACTAATAATAGGTTTCTTTACCGACGAGAGCGCTGCAACATGGATTGCAGGAGCTCAAGCAAGGCTACTTGGCGCAAAACCATGCCTCGGTAGTTGCGAAAAACCTCAAGGTAACTTTGAACGGAGGAAGGCCGTGCAGAATGAGCACTTACAAGCCAGGATCAGACTTGGCAATCGTCTCACTGGGAAGAAAAGAAGCAGTGGCACAGTTCCCATTTACAACAGTTAGTGGCGTTCTTCCAGGCTTGATCAAATCAAAAGACTTGTTTGTGGGGAAAACCAGAAAGGCGATGGGGCTAGACTCTAATGTTGCAGACCACTGAAGCATTGATTTGTCGGTAAAAACTTGGTGTGACCGTGTTGTATTTGTTTGTATGTCTTCCATACTGTTTTTACTTTCTCTGTATTAAGGTTCAGCTGTGAGGGTTACGTCCTGTAATGTTATGAGCTTATAGGTTCGAGCTTGGCCAAGTTGTTGTATGATATGTTTTCTTTGTAGGGTTGAATCCCGGGCAATGCAATAATAAACTTTATTAGGAGGAGTAGGACTTAGTTGGGAGATTTTGCGCTGGTATATTTGGGTTTTACGCGGATCATAATCAAACTTGGGCCGTAACTAGCTTATCCCTCGACTTGAATGGAAATGGGCCTTGGTTTAATGACGCCCATCCGGCCCAATATCCAGGGCCCAGTTTCCATGATGCTTCCTTCCTTTGCTGTTTGTCGTCACCTCCTCGAAGGATTGACGTAAGTCTTGAGGTGGTTCCGTGTTTCATCCATGCATGGATTTTCGTCGGAAGCTCCCCCAGTTCCAAAATTAAAAATGACAACAAGAACTGGCCCTCCCCTAGTCAAATAGTTGCTTTTAGTGACTATTTTGCTTTATTGGTAAATAACAATTTAGTCATCGCACTTCCAAAAACTCTACTCATTCGTCATACAATTTAATAGCAACTAGTTACGACAGCGGAGTTACAAGAAGTTCAGCAGGTGCTACAATCTCTCCTAAATAATTGATCTGAAATAATTATTCGTGAATTCATATACTGAGAAAACATTGGAAAATATCAGCATAAGAGATATCAGCTTGTTACTCCAAAATTTAGTTTAATTGTGAATTTCGTTTATTTTTTATTTACTATTAGTGAAAATTTGTTTACTCTTAATTTCATTATCAATGTATAGAGTATCACTCACTAATTCAGTATATTTCGATAAAATAATATAATATTGTAACTTTGTCAAAATTTAATTAGTTTGGTGTCTGATTTGTTAGACTCGACAAATTTGAATGATTAACGAGTAATTCAACACTAGCTTCGTCAACGATTTTTTTTATTCTTTTTGATGAATCGTCAGCGATTTTTTTATTCTTCGTTTCCTTTCCTATCCTGGATTCCTTTGTTTCTCAATCTTGCGCCTTCCTCCCCAAGCTAACTCCACTACTTCTTAAACCGCCCCAAATCTTCGTCAAATCGTCATTTCGCATTTCCCATTTCCCATCGTCGACCGGAAATTATGGAAGAGCAGAAGGCATCGTCGTCGGGAACTGGCCGGCGGGTGGTGGTCGTCGGAGGCGGCGTTGCTGGTTCAATGCTCGCCAAATCCGCCCAATTCACTGCTGACGTCACCCTCATCGACCCGTACGCTCTTTCCCCCCTGATTGTCGTTTATGGCGATTCCGTTTATGTGGGTTTATGATTGCTTTAGCAGTTAACTGATGAATGGAGCCTTGGAGATGAGAAAGTATTCCGGTTGCCCTGTTCTTTCTTTCCAATTGTTCTGCACTTCGCATTCTCAAATTGCGGACTTCAATCTAGTCATCTGCATGTTTGGGAATGGTGGATTTATGAGAAATTTGAACTTCGTATCTCCTCCTATTTGGAGGAATTCAATCCGAATTGAACGCATTCCTTAAACCCTAACTTACCAGGGGAATTTTTTTAGGGGAAAATGACTTGCTTTACTCTTTGTTCTCAACCATAGTGCGAAATGCTGGGAGCCTTTCTTTCCTTTTTGATAAGTGATTGCTGGTGATCACTTTAACCTGAATCAATGATTTGAAACAGGAAGGACTACTTCGAGATCCCATGGGCAACCTTGAGGAGCACGGTCGAGCCTTCGTTCGCAGAGAGAGCAGTGATCAAGCATCGAGACTACTTCACGAATGGGCGCGTTATAACTTCCAATGCAATCGATGTCACCGAGAAAGAAGTCATGACTGAAGATGGGGAAGCAGTTGGCTACGACTATCTCGTCATTGCAACTGGCCACAAGGATCCTGTTCCCAAAACTAGGAAGGAAAGGATTGCTCATTACCATTCAGGTAAACACAACAGCATTCATGCCCTTTTGCTTTATACCTTGCCTTGCTTTTAAATTCATGTTAGGGATACGCATAGAACAGAACTGAAGGCTTGATTCCTGTTACTTTGTATGTGCACAGAAAATGAGAAGATCAAGTCTGCTAGTTCCGTTCTGATTGTTGGAGGGGGTCCTACTGGTGTTGAACTTGCTGGAGAAATCGCTGTTGATTACCCCGAAAAGCAGGTGACACTTGTTCATAATGGTCCAAGGCTGCTGGGGTACATTGGGCCAAAGGCTGGAGACAAGGCGTTGAAATGGCTGAAATCGAGGAAGGTTGAAGTGAAGCTGGAGCAGAGAGTCGATCTAGACAATGTGTTGGATGACGAAGGCAGGAGAACGTATCGTACCTCATCCGGGGAAACTATCCAAGCAGATTGCCATTTCTTGTGCACTGTGAAACCGGTAGGCTCGTCCTGGCTCAAGGACACTGTGTTGAAGAGTCACTTGGATGCTAAGGGAAGGCTGATGGTTGATGAGTATTTGAAGGTTAAAGGTAGAGACAATGTCTTTGCAATTGGTGATATCACGGACATTCCTGTAAGTTGAAATTCCTTTGCTTTAGCTGGTAGTCATTGAACTAATAGGATTCATTACTGACGCTGCAAAATCGATTGCAGGAGCTCAAACAAGGGTACTTAGCTCAGAACCATGCTTCAGTAGTTGCGAAAAACCTGAAGGTAACGTTAGAGGGAGGAAAGCCCTGCAGATTGAGCACTCACAAGCCAGGAGCAGACATGGCGATGGTTTCACTGGGCAGGAGGGAAGCTGTGGCACAGTTTCCGTTTGCAACAATCAGTGGCATTATTCCTGGATTTGTCAAATCCAGAGACATGTTTGTGGGGAAAACCAGAAAGGCGATGGGGCTAGACCCTAATGTTGTAGACCATTGAAGCATGAATGTTTTGATGGCTCGTGTTGTATCGTATGATGTGTTCTTAGTAGGATTGGGTCAACCGAACTTACAAATAAATTAAGATTCAGATTGAATGTTGTTATGCATATGTGACAATGTGAATCTTAATTTGTGCAATAAACATATATATATACATTGTTTGAGCCCGATTGACTGAGGGTCGCTCGGGTCACCCTCGGGTCCAAGGGGTTTGGGGGTGTCAGCCATGACCTTGAAGGGGTAGGCGCCCCTCCTCGTCCGAAGCAGAAGAAGAGAAGAAGTATGTAGAGAGAGAAAGTAGAGAGAAGTTAGAGTAAAGAGTAGATAGATTGCCATTTATGAGGAGAGAATGTTGTTATGCATACGTGACAATGTGAATCTTAATTTGTGCAATAAACATATATATATATACATGTTTGCCAATAAAATGTAACTTGGGGTGCAAGTAAGGGGATAATGCACCCAGGCCCAGAACTCTGAGGAGGGTGAATTAAAGTTACGATTTTCACTTCATGATAACAAGTACTTCAACATGTGAGATTTTCACTTCATGATAAAATTATGAGATTTTCACTTCATGATAACAAGTACTTCAACATGTGAGTTTCGGTATTTTCTATATGTCATATAACGTAAATAGTCGAATAGCCATCGAAAGAGACTATGGAATGTGGTTTTGAAATGCATGCATGTACAAAATCAAATTGTGATATCCAACAGCATTGTTAGTTAATGGTAAAATTTGACTTGCATATCAAAGACTTCTGTACTGTCTTCTATTTCATGGGTTAAGGATGAAGGACTAATATAAGAACAGTAGAATGTTTGTGTGGTCTGGGTTGGATATGCAGAAACATGGTATGTAGACCATTAACTTTTCAACCCAAGCGATGAATAGTCTATCTTTTTTTCATGGAGAGAAGATCCTTAATAGTCAAAAACTTACACTAAAGTGGAAGTGAAAGAGGAAATATGTAAAGCGGGCCTTTTCATGCAAAATCAAACCACATGGTAAATTTTGATAACCATTATGTGTTGGTAACTTCTGCTTTTGGTCCATTTGGAAAAAGGAAGGCTCGACAACATTGATCGGAAGGAGTGGGGAGTCCGGATTTGAAATTAGGTGTATTATTTTTTTTATAATATAAATAAATAAATAAATACTTAATATATATAACAGGAATTGAGCTATTGTGTAGTGACAAAATACCGTTACATCACTTAGAAATGACGAATTTTACTTTTATCTATTGCATAAATATAGATATGAACCTATTATTTTTTTATACTAAAACTAACTTGTGTCTTGTGACAAATCCAAAAGGCCCTGCCTCCGCTTATGAGGTTAGATACTTAGACTAGTGATGAAGAGATGCTATAACACATATATAATTTTATTTACATGCAAACTAAGTCCTATTACAACAAATTAGGTGAAGTAAGTTACGACACCAAAAAATCGGCTCAAGATAGGGTGCATAACCATGGGTTATGCACCCATCAATAACCAAATCTGGACCCTTCATTTAGAAAATCCAGATCTAAGAATGGAGAATTAAAGACTATTTTTATTTTCACTAGCTTTCTTAATTGACTCATATCTTTTTCGTTTTAACTCGGATTTTAATTTTTTTTGCACAGATGGAACGAGTTCACCGTGCTCTACAAAATGAGATCAATTTTCAATATTTTTTTAGGAAAAAAAAATTCTGGCCTCTCGGTACCAACTGCATACCATATGGTATCTTCTTCGTTTTTAATTCGTTTTTGAAAACGTTTGCACAGCAGGGATGAGTTCATCATGATCTACTGGATCTACAAATTTCTGGGTGAACAAATTACAGGACCAAAAAATACCACACAATACCATACAATACCACCCTGGTACGGGGTGATATTGTATGGTATCTTCTTCGTTTTTAATTCGTTTTTGAAAACGTTTGCACAGAAGGGACGAGTTCATCATGATCTATTGGATCTACAAATTTCTGGGTGAGCAAATTACAGGACCAAAAAATACCACACAATACCACCCTGGTACGGGGTGGTATTGTGTGGTATACAATGTTAAAAGTCGTAAATTACAATTAATATACTTCTACTATCATGTATTCAACCATCCTACAGTATTGGTTTGTTCATACCACCATGGTACGTTTTTCAAAACATAGGTATGCTTTTATTTCAATACCAGTCAATACCATATGGTATAGGCTGGTAAAAAATGGCTCAATTTTTTTTGTTCGAAAAAATATATTAAAGTGGATATCATTTTGAAGAGCACAATTAATCTGATCTAACTGTGCAAAAAAAATTAATTTTCGACTTAAAATGAGCGAGAAATCGTCCGTCAAAGATTAAAAAGGGAAAAATTAAAGGCTTTCCATAAGAGAGAGGATGCTGATAGCATGCTGATGTGGACGGGTTACTCATGGTTACTCACCATAAGGTTACTGACCTGATCCATTCCCCAAAAAATCGATTACTATTAATCACTTTGTTGTTACATTCCAAAAAACATAAGAGTTTCTTTAACTCAACAAAATCCAGAACTAGAGTGCAAAAAAGAAACAGATCCAATGTGATCAATCAAATCGATTACTATTAATCACTTTGTTGTAACATTCCAAAAAACATAAGAGTTTCTTGGGTTAATTGCAAGGCTGGTCACTGGGTTTACTAAAACCGTTCATGTTTGGTCACTGCAAATATTTAATTCCATTTATGGTCACTAAGATTAGTTCAATAGTTCAAGTTTGGTCACTCTCCGTTAGTCTCTGTTAGTTTTTGCTGATGTGGCAGTCAACTATTATAGTTGACCGTTAAATGAGTGACGTGACCAATAAAATAATAATAAAATTTAAATATTTACAATTTCCACCTCATTTTACAACTATTAAAAATAAAAATAAAATTTCATTCGCCACAACAAGATCATAATATGTCCCCGAACTTCCCCTGTTTCTGGGCTCGTCTCTGTTTGCTCCTCTCCCACCTCTTTCGATCCTCTCTCAAGCTCATCTTCCGGTAATTCAGTTCCTCTGTTCTTTCCTTATTTTTTTTTCTTACCCTGTTTTCTAGGATTTTTTGGTCTTCTTCTTCTTCTAAGTTGGAGTTCGTTTCTGTTTTGTTGCTTCTTCCTCTGGCAGATTCCATGAAGTTGAGAATGGAGGGAATTCCGAGGATAAGAAGGAGGAGGACGATTACTCGGCTGTAATTCGTGAACAGGAAGATGATTGCGATGGGTGTACGTATGGCGGATTGGAGAAGACTGGTGCTGAATTGGACACAACTGTTCCATCGGTGCAAAGTGGTAGTAATAAGTATGAGTTCGTCTTGTCTGGGGAAATGATGACCGGATTCATGGAAGAGCCCAGGGTTTTGAAGTTCACGGTCTGTGAGCAGATTAGCGATGATGAACGATTCGAATCCTGCAATGAGAAGAATTTCCATGGAGATGAATTCGATGCAGAGAATGGTTGGGACTTCTTCGATCGTGCCCTGATCGAGAAGCTAATGGAGGCTCAGAAACGCTACGCAAAATTCATTTATGAAGATGATGATGATGATACTATTGATAGTCCAGTGGAAGAAGAAGAAGAAGAAATGGGTTTCGATTCCGACGGATTTTCAACGGAGGAGGAATTTGAATGGCGTGGACAGGAATCTGTTTCAGAGAATATGTCCACGGAAGAAGAACTTATGTCTGAGATTGAAGGTGTCAGTGATTTGGGAAAAACACGGTAAATATTTAATAATTGTAAAATGATGTGGAAATTGTAAATATTTAAATTTTATTATTTTATTATTTTTTTATTGGCCACGTCACTCATTTAACGGTCAACTATAATAGTTGACTGCCACATCAGCAAAAACTAACAGAGACTAACGGAGAGTGATCAAACTTGAACTATTGAACTAATCTTAGTGACCAAACATGAACAGTTTTAGTAAACCCAGTGACCATCCTTGCAATTAACCCGAGTTTCTTTAACTCAACAAAATCCAGAACTAGAGTGCAAAAAAGAAACAGATCCACTGTCATCAATCAAAGAAATTGCATCCCCTTGTCTTTGGAAGAGACAAGAAGTAAATGGAGGGCATCATTACGAATGGTGATAAGAGAAGAGGAGAAGCAAAATCACCAGCCAATGCCAAAAATTTACCCAATTCCAAAAAGACTAATACAAGAATTAAGAACTAATAAGAATTGGGGAAAGGGATATAAGGAATTATGACCTCCTTCTGATCAGCCTGTTGTTTTGCTGTCACTCGTCAGTCATCAGATCTCTCTCTTTCTCTCTGTGTTGGTAGTCAGAAGAACACCCGAAAAAGGGAATCCGCAAGGATAACGGAAACTGAAAAAGGGACTCACTTCTAGTGGGAACTGGGAAGACATTTCTGATTGTACCATCAGCGTCCAGTTTCTAATAATACCTTTTGGCAATTAATGGCGTCAGCCCTTTGGTAACATAAAGTCAAGTACAACTGGCTGTAAACTAAATTTTCTCTTTTTTTAATGATAATAGATCTTGTTACATCTATCTAAGATTATCACTAAACTGAAGCCCTAATTAGAAAATGCTTAGGTTTTCAAATGTATGTGAAGCACACTTACAACCGGCAATAGGTGATTTTTTTTGTATAACATGTTTGTCATGCATTATGTTTTGTTGAACTCAACACCCCAATCTCAAAGATTAGCCAAATTTAAAATCATGAACTTTTAGTCGATGGAGTATCGAGAACTAGTTAATCTCAGCAATTTGAATATTGAATACAAAAGTGACTAGGATGTATATGGTTTTTCTTTTTATCATTTGAAATGAGGAGGGAGAGTTTATTTTTACCTTATAGAATCCCCTCTTTCAGGTGATCTTCCTTTTCCTCCTTCCCTCCAATGAGAAACGAACTGAAGACTGATTGATAGATAGAGAAGATGACAGCAAGCAAGCAGGGAAGCAATGGGGTGGCGATGACGCAATGACGTTGCCTGTGGCCATCACCTCCATCATCGCATCCCTACTCCATTAACGGCGCCTCCCTCACCACCCTCAGGTGCTTTTGCCCTTCCTTCGCCTGACAAATCATTATACGAGCAGTTTAGAAGAAGAATATAATTACATTATCTTATTATGCAGAGAAGAGAAGATCCCCTCCCCTGTTCTCCTCTGTTTCGCTCTCTCTCTCCATCTCTCTGTCTCTCTTGTGATGGGGCTGTTTGATATGGAACAGGAACACATTAGCTGTATTTATACATATATATATCGCCCAAAGAAGATCCTTGTAATAATGAAAACAAAATTTCCTCTACAAACGGCTGCTCTGTGTAATCATTTGCCCCTACTACCAATTCTGATCTTCCTCTTTCTCTCTCTCCCTCTTTACCATCCAAAGTCGCTGCCTTGCTTGCTGGTATAAATAGAGAGGTGCTCTGTTTACAAAACTCACACAACTCCTACTCATCTTCCTCCTTTGAAACGTCAAGACCTATATCGTTCTTTGCACTTCCAACCAAAACTTCTTAGTAAAAACAATGGCTTCTCGTATCAATTCCCTGAACAAGTTCCCCCCTTGCTGCTTACTCATAACATCAGCATTCCTATTTCTGGTTTTCTCGTCACTTGTCCTAGCCATTGACAACAAAGCTTCAATCTTTCCACCGTCCGCAGCTTCACCAGCAGCCCGTACCAGGAAGGTCTGGTTCCCTGTCTTCTATATTTCGTCTCTTTCTTTTCTCCATCCCCCCCTTTTTTTTTGTTGTTGCTGTTATTGACATCTCTACTACTCTGTGGTGTGCGGTTCAGGTTCTGCTTGCTGCAGTGAAGGGTTCTAATAAAGGTTTCATCTTTGCCGCTGGGGGAGCTAAGGCTGCGGATCATCAGGAAGAGTTGAGATCAGTTCCATCAGGACCAGATCCTTTGCACCATAACGGTGGTAGCCCCAAGAAGCCCAGACCTTCCCCTTGATCTTAGTTCATGTAAAGCAGGAGGCTTTTGTCGTTAGCTAACTAGCAACATCTTCAGATTATGCTTATTCCATTTAGTACATGCAGGCCCTGGTTTGCACTGTGTTCCATGCAACTACGTGCCCTTCCTCTGTTTTCCTCCCTCCCCTGTTTTCGGCTAATTTTGTAGTAGCAAGCTTTCTGCTGTTACCTCTGTTGGCACTGCAGACGTAAGAAATGGTGTATATTAATCATATTAACTAAATTATCGCTCACCTTTTTCTTGTTTACTTTTACCATTCCAACATATAAAAAGGAAAGGTGAAAAGTTGGGACAGATGAAAACAAAAGTGGTCAGTAAATAGCAATCAAATCATAACCTGGATCCGCAGGTACTACTCTACTACAAAGCAAACCAGCAACTAGATGCTCTGTTGCTACGATAGTGACAGAAAGAGGTAAAATCCCTTCCCAGAGTGACGCTGCTGCTAACGTAATGCAGATTGTGTATAAAGATAAACAATGCTGTCCATGTCAATCAAACTCAGAATTTGGCGCGATTTTTAAATTAGTTATGACATCACCTATTCTACTTCCTCCGATGATTTCTCTACTCCTTGCTAATGAATGCAAAAAGCACATAACCAGTACTGCAACTGAACTATATTTGGATAGATTCCATCCCCCTGACGGGACTCAAAAAGGATTGCATAGCTCCTACATATTCACTGCAAGTCTTGCCAGTAATCCATTTTGTTACCTCTGAAACCAAAAGTGGCTAAAAGAGGAACAACAAGGCTTATAACAGCATATGATATCAGTCAAGAGAACAAACTGAGTTAAATTTAATAGCTTTAAGTACATTCACACTTTCCTGATGGCCTTCTGGAGATTCATTTGCTCTGCAATCTCTTACTGCTCTTGATAGACATCTTGTTCATTGGCCTGTGGATCATATCCTAGTAACTTCAGATCGTGAGATAATAGCTGTAGTATACCATATATATGCTCAGCATCAGCGTGAGATTTATCGCCAGCCACAAACTCATGAATGCTCGGTCCAACTTCAATCGAGCTAAACCCTGGTGTCTTTCTTATTCCAAGCGCCTTCATTTTCCTCCTAACCTTGCTAGCTCCTTCCCACTTCCCTGCACCCGCGTATAGATTGGCCAGTATCACATAATTCGAATCGACATCAGGCTGTAGATCAACGACACAGCTCGTTACTTTTTCGGCCACTGCAGTATCTTCGTGAGTTCTACAGGCTGTTAGAAGGGATCCCAGTATGACTTCGTTCGGTTTCATGGGCATGGTTTCGATTACTTTGATTGCAGCTTCTAAGTTTCCTGCTCGACTGTGAAGGTCTACCATGCATCCGTAGTGTTCAATCCTGGGGGAGATTCTGAGCTTCTTTGTCATGAGGTTGAAGTACTTTTGCCCTTCTTCGATGAAACCGGCATGGCTACACGCGGTGAGAGCGCCAGTGAAACTGACTCCATCTGGCTCGAATCCTTGTTTCTGCATCAGTTCGAAGTATTGTAGGGATTCTTCTGCAAACCCGTTTGCTGCAAGACCAACTAGCAATGAATTCCACGAGACTAGAGTTCTGTTGAGCATTTTGTCGAACACCTGGCGGGCTAGCTCCACGCATCCACATCGAGCATACATATCAATCAACGAATTGCTTATCCTGATGTTGTCTCTGAATTCTTGTTTTAGGACATAGCGATGGATCCACAATCCCAAGCCGAGCGCGCCACAATTAGCAATAGCGGCCAGGACTGAAATAATAGTCACGTAGTCAGGTTCGGCTTTGGAGACCTGCATCTCTCTGAACGACTCCAACGCTTGCTCAAAGTAACCCTTTTTAACAAACCCATCGATCAACAGCGTCCACGAAACTGCATCCCTTTGAGGCATTTCGTCGAACAGTTGAACCGCAACATCCATCTCGTCATTCCTCATGTACCCATCAATCAACGTGTTCCAGGAAACGGAATTCCTCACCTCGAGCTCATCGAAGCAAACCCTCGCCCGCTCCACCTCGCCGCACTTGCCGTACATTTTGACCAGCGCCGTCCCGACCATCACGTGATGCCGATCCAGCCCCAATTTCCGCACGTAGGCGTGAACCATGGGGCCGAAGGACCTGCCTTCCGCTTTTGGGAAATCGGCGCATGCGGAGAGGAGGGTTATGAAGGTGACGTGGTTCGGTTCGACGGCGGAGAGGCGCATCTGGGTGAAGAGCGTGGCGGCTTGAGCGAGGCGGCCGCTGCGGCAGAGGCGGGAAATGGAAGAGGTCCATGAAACTGTGGGGTCTACTGGCTGCTGATGATAGGTTTGTTGTTTGATGGAAAGGTTCGATTTTGAAGGAGTTCGCGTTTGGATTTGGTGCGGCGGTTTCACATCCGGCGGTGGCAGCGGCGGCGGCTGGCGGTGTGGGAGTTGGGTAGTTGAAGAAAGCGCGGGAAGCGCCATCTGTTCGAAAGACCGTTTTCAGAAGAAGAAAAGTTGAAACAGAGATGGATTTCCAAATATCATCGAGATTCGAGTGCGGAATCAGAGGGACGTTAGGGTGCAGAAGCAGAACCCTATTTGGTCGAGTAGATGGCGAAGTCAATCTCACCCGTACATGAGATCTATATCTCATCTAACGGCGGAAGAGAATTAGGGTATTTTTGGAAGCTACAAATGAAGAGAATAAGTAGACAATTTCACTCATTCATTTTCTATCTTGGAGATTATTGAATTCCATTCGTAGTCCATACGAATAGGCTTGGTATGCATACGATCGTATGACATTCAAAATAACTTCAGTTTTCGTAACAAAAATCCAACCTATAAATAAACAGAGTTGATCATGAAAGTCTTTCATGATCAAGTTTCTCAATTGATGGTCCAAATAATCGAATCAAAAAGAGATTAGCTTGATGGATTATGCATCCAGTGGCGCAACGCGCAAGTATGAGAAAATGAAACACTCTTGATGTTAAGTTTCGTTAACTTCAAATATGAACATAATTATCATCAAGAAAAAAAAATTAAGGAGGAACTTTTACTGTATTGAATTTGGTTAAATGATTCCGTTCATAATCATTCGTAGTAGCATCCCATCGCATTATAGTAATTTGTCATGACATTGCTAAGTAAGGAGTAAGGATGAACTTTTACTGGCTTAATAGAGATAAGTTAGACCTTCTCCACAAAAACAAAAGCACCATTGCAGCCACAGAATCATGCATGCTGCTTGGACTGGAACTGGATAGTCACATTTGATAGCAACAACTTAACGGAACGAAGAGTGACAAAGAGAGAGGCATGCAATTTAAGAACACTGCAGAGTTGCACATGGCAAACCCTCTCTTTCACATCTCGCCAATAATTACCTAACTAAAATTTCATGAGAACCAAACGCCAAAAGTTGCTCCCACCGATGGGGATTGATTGAATTGCACCACCTTCTCTTCTCTCCAATTCAATTGGAACCCAATTGTATGGCTTGGTTTCCAAATCTCTCGCATCCACCATGTGGCCTCGTCTGTGTCCACATAGGAAGAGGAAAATGATAGAAATTTACTATTGGACCGAAGTCATGCTACTAATAATCAGCACTCGAGCCCACGTCAGGCCCATGCAGTCCATGCACCTATAGGGCCCGTGGCTGCACTTCCTTATTCCTCTTCTCGTGCTAATTCTGTAACCCTAGCTGATTTGGATGTAATAGGGTATAAAACCAAGGCTTGTGTAATCAAGCCGCAAGATCAATAAGAAGAAAAGGGTGTTCTCCCGTGGATGTAAGCCTCACACAACGTGAGGAAGAACCACGTAAAATCAAGTCTCAATTTACTTTACTGCACAATTTTACATGGTATCAGAGCCTCAAGCTCTGGGATTTTGATCAACTGTTCTCGTATTGAATCATGAGTGACGGCGAAGATACTGGTTCCGTCGTGACGCAATCTCCAGGAAATAAGGCCCCCGATGCCTTACCTGAGGTACTCCAGCTCCACCGTTCGGATGGCCCTGGGAATATGCTGGTTGGCGATGTTCTTTCCGCCTCCAACTATGGTGAATGGGCTCTCGACATGAAAGATGCCCTCCTCGCCAAGAACAAATATGGTTTCGTCGATGGGAGTTTACCTAAACCTAGCAAGCAGCCGGACAAGGATGCGTGGGTTCGGTGTGATGCCATGGTTAAAGGGTGGCTCAAGACCTCCATGGACAAGGAACTCCGCAGCAGTGTTCGCTTTGCTGAAACTGCCCGTGAAATTTGGGCCGACCTCCAAGAGCGGTTTGGGCGAGGTAGCTCTTCTCGTGCCTACGAACTCCGCCGCCTTATTTCACTACTCCAGCAAGAGAAAGGCTCCGTTTCAACCTTTTACACTCGGTTGAAAGCTTTTTGGGAGGAGGCTTCTGCAATATTTCCTCCGCCAAGTTGCACTTGCGGGCTGTGCAAGTGTGGCGTCTCCCGGCGCGTGCGAGAGCAGCAAGAAAGCGCCAGGGTCTTTGATTTCTTAATGGGGCTTGATGACGCTTTTAGTGGCGTTCGTACACAGGTCCTTGCTATGAAACCTATCCCCACTCTCAGTGAAGCATTCAACATCATCTTAAATGCCGAACAGCAGAAACTCATTGCTCAGAATCGTCGTTCCTCGCCCGAGGCAGCAGCATTCCTTGCGCATGATGATCGCGACAAGTCCTCTGGTACACCGGATCGGGAGCGTGGTGCTGAAGATCGCGATCGTCGCCGCTGCACCCACTGCCAAAAGCCTGGGCATTTGCGCGAGTCATGCTGGGAGTTGATTAGTTACCCCCCTCGTGATCGCGATCGTGATCGTCCTCCCCGTGACCACAAAGCTCGTGAAGGCCGTGGTGATCGTCGCGATCGTGGTGCTAGTTCTGGCAGGCGAGATCGCGTGAGCAGAGAGCCTAAAGCTTCTCAAGCGGCGACTGAACAAAGTCCCGTTGCTGGGTTCTCTTTGGCGCAGTTACAACAGCTCAAACAATATTTCCAAGGCTCGGATTCCAACGTTGATGATCCTGCTGCTCATATGGCAGGTACTTTTTCTGACAGTTCTGAATGGCTCCTCGATTCCGGGTGTAATGAACATATCACCATGCATGAACATCTCCTATCCGATAAAACCATTCCATCTAGGGCTGTTAATCGGTGCGGTTTCGGTTTAACCGAACCGCACCGTCGGTTAGCCGACACCGAAAGACGGTCGTTTTCCCCAACCGAAGCCGACACCGACGTCGCCCTCGGTTAACCGGCAACCGAAACCGTCGGTCTCGGTTTGTGAGGGCGGTTAGCCGAAACCGCTAGAGGAAGCCGGTTTTCGGTTTCGGTCAGAAACCGACCAATGAAACCGATCTCCTGCACACAGCAGACACACCCTGCTGGCTGCTGCATTTTTCTGCACACACACCTGCTGCATTTTTTATAAAAACCTGCTGCTGCCCTTATCAAATCAGAACATAAAGTCTAACCCAAACACAATTAAATCACAAGTCAAGTCATCATTCATCACACACCATAAATCTTTTACATGCCAACAATTCAAATAAAGAAGTCACAAGTTCACAAATCACAACAAGCCACAAATAACAAGTTCATTCTCCAAATCATCAACCTAAATTCGGGGATCTCGCTCCAAATCGTCCCCGATGTCATCATTTACTCCAAGATCTTCATTCTCATCATCAGGATTGACATCAGAATCATATTCAGCAACATCATCAAGTCCATCAACTATGGGGGTAGGAGTAGGAGTAGGATCAACTGAATCAAACTCACTCCCACTTTGATTAGCCATTCGAGCTTGTAAAACCTCATAAACTACATGAAAAGTAGATTATAATGAGAAAACTAAGATAGGCAAATTGTCAAATATGAAAACTAAAGCATAATTAGAAGGAAGAAATGATATATTACCACTTTCAAACTCAGTTAGCTCTTCGAGATCCTCTTCATCATGAACCAATTGGGAATCAGGGAATCGTATCCAATCTTCGGCACAGATTAATGCCTCCACCATCTTCGGGGTCAAGGAGGACCTAAATGAGGATAGCACCCGACCTCCTGTGCTGAAAGCAGACTCGGAGGCAACAGAAGAAATCGGAATGGCCAAAATATCCCGCACCATTTCAGAAAGCACGGGATATCTAATGCTGCTGACGGACCACCATTTAAGAATGTCAAAGCTATCATCCTCGTCATCGAAAAGAACAGCATCATTGACATCATTCAGATAGATGTCCAGCTCTGAAGAACTTCGAATACCCGCATCAAGCTCTTCTTTCCTCAACTTCTTGAACTCAAAAGTCATCTTCCCTCCCATCACAACACCACTACTCGAACTCCCACTAAGAGTGGTTGTGGAGGTGGCAACAGCATCCGGCGCACTTGAGGGTGGAGACTGGAGCTTCTTCTTGTAATCTTCAAACAAGTCACTCATCTCTTGTTTGATATCCTTAGCCATTTGCTTCCCATTTTCTTGGCCATACATCTGCTTCAAGACAAATTCAACATAGGCCAACTTGCGCCTCGGATCTAACACACATGCAATGTAGATCACACGGTTCATCCTAATATTCTCCTCATTATCTGCCTCGTACCAATACTTTGCAACCTTCGCCTTAATTCTCACTGCCATTCGTTGTATCTCGGCATCTTCATCTTGCTCCAATGTGCATATGACCTCATAAATATCTGCAAGATACTTGAAGAATAGATGCACAGTCACATATGAAGTTCCTGTAAACACAGAAAAGTTCAAGAGAGTAGATATTAGTATAACATAAATTGAAGTAATAAGAAAAAGTTCAAGAGACTTTAGAAATATGTCATACCAGATACACGCGTAGTCAAATCACAAAAAAACTTCAAATACTTCATCAGTCTTCTCACACTGCTCCAATCTTCTTGTGTTGGCACACCTCTCTTCGTGTCCACATACTTCTTAAAACTCTTATCAACACCATATAAGAAAGTAAATACTTTCTCAAATCTTTCTGCAGACTCTAGCATGAGGTAGGTGGAGTTCCACCTTGTGGGAACATCCAAACACACCAGCTTCTTGGTCTCAATCTTAAGAAAATCAGCAGCCGCCTTGAATCTGGTAAGTCTTGATGGAGATGACTTGACCCACTTCACAACATCTCGAACCCTTTCAACCGAAATCCCCACTTCTTTCAAGCCATCAGTGACAACTAAGTTGATGATGTGAGCAACACAACGAAAATGCAAGTACCTCTCATCCAACATATTTGTCCCCCACTCATGCATCTTCTCTATCATGTAACTAGCCACAACATCATTCGCACTAGCGTTGTCCATTGTGATGCAACACAAACTCTTGATCTTCCACTCATCTAGACAAGTACACAATGTCTCTGCTATATCAACTCCAGTATGACTAGTCGCCTCAACAAAGCAAATCACCTTCTTCACCAACTTCCAGTCTTTACCAACATAA